CTCGGGTTCGTCCCTAGCTTGCATTCCAATACAAACTTTCATCCCCATTTTCACTCCCTTAAAGGATTCCAATGGAGGATCCTTAAAGGATCCCCTAGATAAAGAGTATCCTATGTGCTTCAAAGGGTCTCAAACTATCTTTTTACCAAATTTCATCTAAATTGGTTCAGTAGATCCAGAGATTACCCACTACAACATCATAAACTCACACACTTTACCTCTTTATAATATTAGTATAGATTAGCATTACAAAAGTGTATATTCTGCTCAATGTAATATATTACTGTTCTTATTACTCTTCAGACTTTCGGGACAGAAAGATTATCGTTGAGAGATCGTCCCTGGGACTCAAGCCCATGTTGTTCGAATTTGTATCTAAACTCCTATAAAAAGTTATATGTTTTTATTTGTTTGTGTAATAGGACCTAAAGTGGATTTACATATTATAAGCTTCCACAAAAGCTTTATATTACTACAAACATCACAAGTAATTTATACTACTTTTATTAAAATATCACACGAGCTTTGCTCCACGGGTGAAAGCTAGTAAAGAATAACAACTTAGACTATTTACAAAATGTCATCAAGTGTGTGTAAGATATTGTTGAAAGCCGCTGCCCACGTCCGCCCGCAACCGGTAGCCGCAGATACGACGAGTTACAATAAGTTCTCGCCCGACCTCGTATTGACAATAACGTATAACATATGAAATTCGAAAAAATTAAAATAAAACATCTCGTCGGATTTATTTTGATGTGAAACATCTATTGATACGCTTTGGCAGTAAAATCGTATGATGGCAGCGTCATGCCATCATGCCCCTTTACGTCATCGCTCTCGACTCCCTTGTGTACGCGCGCGTATACTATACATACACGCTCTCATTGTAAAACAATCTCTTTTATACTTACATATTTCCTATTTATTAAACTCTTCAAATTGAATCAGTTATACCAAAGATTATCTACAACTAAATCACCAACAAAATTTATAATTAATAGATACAAAAATAATATATCATCAAATTTCGTGCTTTCGCTTTAAGTAAATATTATATTATAGGTATGCTAACAAGTTTAATCTTAATCACAAACTGTAGATTCCAGGGTGGTCGCGTCCTTGTGTCGCTACCCTCGAGTCAAGGTGCAACAGTATAGCTAAATATTTTAAACAAAGCACGCCATAAATTCCGCGTAGCTGCTGTACGAGTATACTCCTATAATATAATGTTTTTGACAACAAAGGAGCCCTTTACCCTTGAGTCACCTTCACTTTGTTACCACCATGAATTTAACAAAAATCACAGAAATATAAATCTTAAGCCGCTAGATCTAGAAGCATAAAAATTTTGCATAATATTTTCTTTTAGATAAATATTAGTGACTAAGGATTTATAAAAATAATTCCTCTAAAGTCCTTAAATATAAACGTAAATTTGGTTAAAATTGGCTAAAAATTTAAAAATAAATAGGAGCCATTGAAGAATTCTTTATCCATCAACTGGCTCTACCATAGAATACCTCAATTCCTAGATAATATAGTTTTAAATGATCATGGCATCCTTTTGTTGATGGTATCTATCTATGTCTTGTCATCCATGCAGAATTGCATTGCAGTTTCAAATCGATACAGACAGTGAGTAATAGGTTAAAATATTTTTTTTATATTTGTTACATTTTTTATTTAGGCTTTAAAAACGTATTAGGGAAATTATGAATTTCAATCAGTTGTCGGCTTAGTTCCAGAGATTATCCGCTGTATACAAACAAACAAATATTATTTTTTTACAAAATAGATCAAGACTTAGTATTTAATTAGTGCACGTGTTAGAAGTGAAACTTCATCTTCCTTGGTTATTTATATTTCAAGTCTGTAAGATTAATAACAAAGGATAAATGTCAGAGAACGAGATAAAAGGTGAGATATGTGGGACGTCAAAGGATTTAGGAATAATATTCGAAGTATTTACATAAGAAAAATAAACACAAATTATAAGTTGTATTTTTGAATTTATCTCTATAATAAAATACTATTATTTGTCGACGCTTGTATTGGTATACTTGTTATTGTGGCGTTATGGTAACTAAAATATGAAATGTAAACTGTTTAAATTTATAAAGTACTAGAGGAACCCGCGGCTTCGCTCGCGCTAAAACTACTCGTACAAAAAAATCTCTAAAAAGGTACTTTCATACAAACTTTCATCCCCTATTTTACCCCCTTATAGGATGAATTTCAAAAAATGCTAAAACACGTATTTATTTATTTGTATCAAAAAGCATTAATACCAAGTTTCAAGTATTTCTGATCATAAATATTTTTTTGGATTGTGTTTACCCGTGAGAATTAAATAATCTCCCGCGGTCAAAAATAGCCTATGCCACTCTCCAGCCCTCCATCTATTTCCACACAAAAAAATCATGCCAATCCGTCCTTTCCGTTTCGACGTGAAAAAAGGACAAACAAACACACTTTCACATTTATAATATTAGTATGGATATACAATATCAGAATATTTAATTACTGAGAAATATTTTAAACCCTAATTTTATTTTAATTTATTTAATTTACCAGTATAAAATACAGTGTAATGTATTCTATCTCATTCTCTCGAAAGCTTAATGCTTATACATATTTATGTGTTTGTCGCTTTCTAGTGTCGCATTTTCGTTTTATCAAGTTTCAAATCACAACGATTCTAAAGAAGTTTTACTTCAAAAACTAAGCATCGTAATCAAAACAACATTATATAGCTATATCTAATAAACACACGTAAGTAATTTTGGGGTATCACAAATCTTATGAGTTAAATGAAGCAATGAAGGTAAAGTGTCTTGATAAATTATGCCACGATACAGCGTCTCAACCCTTCTCTACGTTTTAATTAGACAACGTATCGCATAACTCTATGTTTGAATAATTTAACAATACTTTAGCCGAGCCTTCAGTATCTGTTATAGTTTAAACATGGTGGCTGATTTACGAAACAGTAAATTAAATTCTATAAAACTTTATTTTGCCTTTCAAGACATATCGATGCCATTATAATTAGTCAAAATCATGCCTATAAATTACATATCGATCCTAGAAAAAACTCGTTACAAAACCTAAAGATAATTGGTAGAGAACACTAGGTTGAAAAAAAATCTGCCATTTATATATATTTTCATTCATAGCATAAAAGTTCCATTATATTCAAATAGATATTTCTAGAATCTTATCTAAATAGACGTATATTAAATAAATAAAATAAATCATTAATATGTTGGGACATGAACACACAGAACCATCTAGCTCCATGGTAAGCTACGAGGCTTGTCTATGGATACCAGATACTTGATTCACTACACGTATATAACTTTAAATACATACATATTATAAATATAAACACCCATGACTGGAGTACAAACATTCATGCTCATCAAACAAATGAATGCCCCCAGCGGGGCTCGAACCCGCAACCGCCGGCACAGCAAGTAGGGTCACTACAAAATGAGCCAAACCTTTCGTCGCTATTTATAAAACATTATAAATGGCATAATTTCTATAACTCACATAAATAGTACGGAAAGTTGCAACAAAAGCCCTCATAAATTAATGATGAGCTTAATAGCTCTATATTCTAAGCTATTACCAGCAAAACAGCATTTAGTTCTAGAAAATGGCAATTTTAAAATTATATTACCGTGAAAAAAGTTGAGAAAATTGAAAAATTCTTGTGGGAAATCTCGAGTTGAGACCAAAGGTCTCTCCAACCTCACTCGTGCAGTGGCGATATAATCCTGTTTTGTGAAACTTGTTAGAGCTGCTTTTTGTGCTACGAATGCATTCAGAATTTTTTCTATTTTCTTTTAAGAAGCAAACTATTGAAATATTAACTATGAATGTATTGAGTTGTAGATTATGCAATCAGGTAATCCTTATACCTACGACTTGGTTCGTGGGAAAATAAAATAAAAAAACTAGGTCTAAATCGTATATTATTCAATACACATACCCAAACTCAAATTAATTTATGGTGATGCATTAAAGAAGGAAACAAGATTAAGTAAGAATATAGTATAATAAAGTTGAAGGCATCCTCCTACGTGTAGCAATAAGTATAAAGCAATTGTGTCGTCGTTTTTTTTTTGGTATCAGGAACTGTTTTTTTTTACTGTAACAGATTATTGTAAAAGCATTGAAGTATAAAACCTATATTTTATATTTAAAAAAAATAATCTAGATGAATGAAGCGCGAAGAGTTTAGATGCAGAACCTTAACAAAGAGTTAAGCACAATACGAGCCATTAACTTTACTTGATTGATTTTTATGTAAAAGTACTTATATCTAAACAGCCTTATAGTAATATAATTCTAAAGAATTACATTATGAAAAATTTTCGTACACAAAAAGGAAACTAACACAACAACGAAAGCGATAAACTAAATATATTGTGGCTTCTAACGCTCTGTTATCAGTGGACTGCGATAAACGGCTTGCGACTAACGAGTAACGTATAAAGAACATAAGTTATTTGGCTATCTGCTACCATATCTTACCCCTATTATATTATTGACACAAAATTCGGTAAGAAGCAATTTGTGCTAAGGGGCCTGTATCAGATGTAGCCGTCTCAATACGCTTTTTGTTTACAGAAAATTACTATTTTCTATGTGAACATATTAACTCTGACTGACACTCTAGCTGATTATCGCATGAATTCAGTTTTCATATTTTTGTATATCAACTACGTTTAAGGGTAGCACTCGATTTTCATTTTTTTAAAATGCTAAATACCGTTCTTGTATATAAAATGATGCTTAATCAAGCGAACTCTATAAGCGATAAGAATACAGAATAATAAAAAAAAATATACAACTAAATAGCTTTGATGAACTCGAGTCTAACTTCCCATTTCCGCCAGTCGCGCAGATAAGACGATTGATAGGAAACAGTAAAATCCGTAATATTTTTTTTATAAATGTATTTGAATCAATTATATCATAAAGTTCATTTACCGCGCAGGAAGTATGAGGGACACAGTGAGCAATATTTGATAAGGCGAAAAAATCGTCGCTTGAGATATAATGCGCATACGCATCGCTGACTCGGTGTCTTCAATCGTAGCGTTAATGATATCAGAATATTGGTAGAGTGAAGTGAAAACACTTGTCGACCCCACGGGGGGAGTTTTGCTGCCATGCGCGCACACCGTCGGCCCCATCGATGTTACACCCACCTACAAATGTGAAAACAAGCAATGAGAACAAAATAATACTATAGTAATACTTACATTTTAAATTTACAATTTTACGAATGAGACTATCCCGTGAAGATGTTTGCCGTAGAACATCCGGAATGTCGGAAAATAAAAACCGAAAATAGTTTTATTTCAATAGTACTATAATAATCAATGTAACAGATGTAATTAGATTTTTAGTTGCTTTTAGAGAAAGATGAGTTTTGGCCAATTACTTAATAATATTAGAAATAAGTGAAACAAATAAACTACATTTAAAGTAGAAACGATGAAATACATACCGGTTGACCTTCATATAGGATTGGTCCTCCGGAGTCTCCGGAGCAGACTCCGCGAGGGGAGTCGCTCTTAGCGACGCCGCACACGCAGTAGAGCCAGTCAGACTGCTCACAAGGCACCAGCGTGAGGTCCACGGAGAACAGTTCTTCGCCCAGCACTGATCGCTCAGTGCGGCCAAAACCGAAAACCTATGAAACGATCAAATACTATTTACTGAATCTACACATGTATTAAAATGACTATCAGATAATACTTTCTTAGATTTACGCGAATATTCGACATTTAAATAAAACTATCTTTCCGAATTTTTCGCGAATTTATTTGAATTTTTAGTTCCCGACGTTTCGAAGGACATAATTCTTTTTTTATTTTGTAAACTAGTGTAATTAATACTATATTTTATATTTTTCTTTATGGTTAGAAATATAATAATGGCAACACTAAATATAGATTACTAATTAATATTTTTAAAATTGTAATAATTATAATAATAACTGCAAAAATTAAATAAATAATATTCCATATTCAATTATGAAACTAATAAAAATTATAAAATTTTTTAAAGTTACAAATTTTTTAAGTTAAGACATAGAGCAAAAGTCATGGACAAGTACCGTGAATTAATAAGCAATTATAGTAGACAGTGTATGGTAGTCCGTAGCGCTAATAGTTTTAAGCCCTTGTCTTGATTTTATGTACCTTTATATCTTTATTATATAAATCGAGGGCGTTATTTCTCCGCCACGCTGAAAGTCCCAACTTCAGAGCAGGTAGTTTTATCTCGTCCTTAGTTCGAACCAGACCCACGTCGTGATGCAATGTTTGTACGTCCAAGCCTCGTCCAATATCCTCCTGTTTAACTTTATAGCTAAAAAATAAAATAAAACATGTGACAAATTAATTTCAATAAAGTTATTATATAATTATATAAAAAATTAGTCGGTCATATGTGAGGTTTGTACATCAAAGATTCTACACTACCAAACAATATATTTGTATTATGTATCAAATACGAATCTTCGCGTCAACAAAGTGGGATACGAAGTCCTAAAAATGATGTTATTGAATTGATGCCGTTAGCGAAAGAGAATTGAATTGAATTGTTATTTAAAGTTTATCTTAATAAAAAAAATAACAAACTTGGGATGTCGGTATAGGTAATGAATCGCAGAGACGCTTCCTTCGTTGGAGGCTGGTCGGCGTGTATTATACTTGACGTACGCTAGCCTCGGCGTAACGCAATGTGCTGCGGTCAGAACCCAATGCTTGTTCAAGATGGTCGCGGTGCATCGCACCGTCAAGTATCGGTCTAAGAGCGCACTCACTGTGGGGAACTCTTTAAGTTCACTGGATGTTCCGCCAAATACTCGGCGAGATCCAGCGCCCCCCAGAGTAGCCCCTACGTCCATTTCCCTAAAGAATGCGTGCCTCGTACCATTGTGCACTTGTACTTCTACATCGTTCTCTGACGTTCTTTCTATTGCATCAGATAGAGACTCGTCCTCAGGTACGGACATATGCTTAACTTCAGCTGACTTAATGAGTATAAAAACGCAAATCCAAAAATGTTTCATATTATTTTTATTTTTAATTTTCTTTAGATAAAAACCATCTTAAAAAATATTTATTGCAGCAATTTTAGTAGAATATTTTATTTGACAGCGTCAAAAATAAATAACATTAAAACCGCATTTGATATATTCTATTGACAAAGTATCTCCTACCGTTTCCCTAAACAATCACTGATAGCAGTAGTTATTACAGTTGTGGTTATTAAGGAATTGTCCCTGTTATTTGATGTAATACAAACACATTTAACTAAAATATCATGACATTTACATTAGTCTGCTTTGTCCTCAGATGAGCGGAACTGCGTGGGGTGGCGCGGCGCGCTAGGATGCCGAGTCGCTCAGCGCACTGGCGACATGAACCGGTCGGCGCCCCTCGAGTGCGATACGGACACGGGCGTACCCGACTCCGACAAGCTGTTCCGGTTCGTGGTGCATGGGGTGCTGCTGAACGCGATCGGCGCGGGTGGCCTGCTGGGCAATGCGCTCTCCGTGCTCGTGCTCTCACGCCCGCAAATGAGATCTTCCATCAACTGCCTCCTCGTCGGACTCGCCGGATGCGACACTGTCCTCATATTCACTTCCATTCTCCTATTCGGTCTCACTGCCATATTCCCGTACTGCGGCGCCCTCAGATACTACTACTATCACATATGTCCACATCTTACGCCCTACGCGTATCCGATTGCGAACGTGGCACAAACGATGTCTGTATACCTTACACTAATAGTGACAATCGAAAGATGGGTAGCCGTATGTCATCCTTTTCGAGCGAGAGCTCTTTGCACATCGTCACGAGCGCGCTGGTATGTATTGGGCACGGCGACGTTTGCCTTCGCCTACAATACACCCAAGTTTTTCGAAGCGGAGGTTGTACCAGTGGGCAATCCAGAGCTTGGCGAAGTAATATACTGCGTGCGAGCAAACGTCGACTTCCGCACCGATAGATACGTAGCGGTGTATATACACTGGATGTACCTTGTGGTTATGTACATCGTCCCATTCTCCGCATTGGCAGCCCTCAACGCTTGTATAGTCCGACAAGTACATAAGGCTCAAGCTGAACGAGCACGACTCTCCCGGGTGCAGCGCCGCGAGCTCGGCCTGGCCACTATGCTGCTCGTCGTAGTTCTCGTCTTCTTCCTCTGCAATCTGCTCCCGCTGGTGACGAACGCCTTCGAAGTATTCCTCGGGGACGCCTTCGACAACCTGGACCCACTCGTCAAAACGAGCAATCTCCTCGTGACTATAAATAGTAGCGTTAACTTCGTGATCTATGTCATTTTTGGGGAGAAGTTTAAGCGAGTATTTTTGAAGATTTTCTGTGCGGGACGAGTGCGCCCGCGGGGCTTACGGGACTCGCCGGAACACACTCGAGACGACTCATTCGCTTCTTATGGAGAGAGAATGTCATTGCGGCTAGCAAGGAACGGTACCTTACGTCGCTCCGAGATGCGTTCGATGCGTCCGGGCCGGCCGCGGCGGGCTTCCCCGGCGCCCACAGTGTACTACCCCGCACCCACGCCCTCTACAGACATATCCCTCGCGTCCACCGACGCGCCGCCCTCCGCCGTGCGGTGGAACGGAAATTCCCGGCTTCATTTCTGACGTCGCGACTCATAGAGTTCTCTCTATTGCTCACGTTAATACGCTTCAAACTCTCCTACCTCTAGTGTTACAAACAATTATGTGCTACGGGGTGGATATATTCATTGTGTTAGTTGATAAAAAATTAAAAGACATTGACCCTCCGGTGTCGAGTGAAATTACCTCATGTGAAGTTCCGAACAAAGCTACGATAATTTTAAACATATTAATAAATCAGATATTATATTAGAATATATATCATAAATTGTAACATATGCTGCTTTGTGTTATGTCGACCAAAACAACGATGCATTCTAGTATTTAACACCAGTTGTATATAGACCATACAATTTGTAAATAAATGTTTCAAATTATAATATACATATATTATGTAAGTTATTGTGAGATTAGACGCCGCCGTGCTCAGAGAGGACGGCCGTGTGCTTATTACTACGAATATATTGTAAGTCTGTATAGTGCGACAAGTGACATGTGTAACATGGTTTTAATTAAAGATTCTTTTAATGTATCGTATCGTTTCCAAGCGTTTTGTTTTATTTTACCTACAAATATCTTAGGCAATATACACATCATGAAGTAAATTAACGTAAAATATACCACTATTTAGGATTTTTATTAGTAAATGTAGAGTATTTGCGAATATACAATTATAATGTTATATAAAAATACGGCCAAATAAATATAAATCATTTCTCTTCTCTAACACAAATTGCTTTTTTAAACTAAAAGGCGTAAGGAATAAGAAAAGAAAAATAAAAAGAAAAATTTAATCATTTCGTACCATTGAGCTGACTTTTAATATCGCTCATATTACATTCGAAGATAATGATTATATGTTATATTTTCGATTTCTTTTCGACATTATGTTACCAAACCGTAAACGTTGACATTTTCGGAAATGACCCGTTTTATAACGTATTTCCTGAAACTATAAATCCCTGGAAATAATGAAAGATGTCAGACTCCCTCGAGGGAATATCTCTAACGATGAATAATTAAAGCATTCCGTGGCAGAAATCTTAAATAGTTTTTCATAAAAGTCTTCAAACTTGACATCACGTTTGGCTCAGTTTGTAGTGATCCTATTTGCTGTGCCAGCGGTCGCAGGTTCGAGTCCCGCTGGGGGCATTCATTTGTGTGATGAACATGAATGGTTGTACTTCAGACATGGGTGTTTGTTTATATAATACTCTCTTCGATTTACGCGAATATTTGACATTTCAAATAAAACTATCTTTTCGGATTTTTTTGCGGATTTGTTTTGACCATGATTGCTGTAAAGCATTTGAAACGTCGGGAACTAAAAATCAAAATAAATCCGCGAAAAAATCCGAAAATATAGTTTTATTTAAAATGTTTGTTTAAATGTATAATATATATGTGTAGTGTATCAACTATCTGGTATCCATAACACAGCCCTCGTAGCTTACCATGGAACTAGATGGTGCTGTGTGTTAATGTCCCAATAAAAAAATATATCTGATAATATTATTACGCTAAAATCTACAAACAACTTGATTTTTATATGTTTTCTTGTATAAATTAAAATAATCTTACATAATAAACTACATTATTTATTAACAACTCATAGTTTTACTGGTCATTTGAAATATGTTTGGCAAAACAATTCTCGATAGGTATCTATAAACCAACGATTACACTTCAACTTGCGTGACCACTTATACACATATTAAACTACACTTCAATAGCGACTGAAAACAACTTTACAAATAGCTTGCTTATCTCCAAACATATTCGCCGAAACATACAAAGTATCTATCCTTTTGTACACATCTAATACCCATTTATTGATGACGGCTGATTGCCCTATTATCCCTCACTCAGAGACCCTTATCTTCCCTCATCTCCCCGCGCGTGCCTCACAGCATCCACCGTACAGCTTCCGTTCCAAAGAACTAATAACAGGGATTACCCCAAATGTAACATTAACTCCCAAGTATAATCAATCAATAGTAGGCGCCTTTTAATTAATGATTATTATATAAATATAAGGTTTAATGTAGTATTTTTATTTAACCCGAATAAAAATTTTCAATTAATACCTAAGTTTCTTAATATGTATCTATATAGTGATAATTGATATATTATAAATGAAAAAATCTGTTCGTTTGTTCGTCCTTCCTTTTCTGACGTAGGTATATTGTGTATTAATTCCGTAGAGGTGGTTTATAAGCAACTTTTTTAATTTGGCAAAAGATGTAGTTCCAGTCAACAACCAGTAAAGTATTCTTTATCTATAACTTATAACTTTAGGACATTAGATGTCGTATGTTTTTGCAGCTTTTAAATAATTAGTTTGATTTTAACCTTTTTGTTTAAAAACCGTCCTATTAATGGGTTTCTGGATGGTTTGAAAATACAATTGGACGATTGGGAGGTGGCGCTGTTGTCGGTATGTCACTGATCTTCTCCTAAACGGCAGGGACGATTTTAATGATATTTTTGTGTACGTTCGAGTGAGTCCCTGCAAGGTTTGAATTCACAAATGGATTCGGTATTTGACGCTGCAGTTGGTGTGTCATCAAATTATTATTAGTTATTACATAAGGCCAAAGAGTTTTTTTAGTAGTGTGAACGCGGGCGAAGCCGCGGGTACTGCTAGTTTATTTATTATAAAACTTAACTAGATTAAACTTAACCACACAGCATACGGAAACATAAAAGGTACATATGTATAATATACATAAATATCTAAAGCATATAAATCAATAGGTATTTTTAATAGAAATATAGACTTGACACGCTCAAAACAAAACGTTTTTATATTATAAGCCAATGGGTAACTGCGATGGGTATACTAATATAAAGTAAGAATGCTGCTAACTCATGTTTATAAATTACAAAAAGCATTTACATTTTAATATTTTTTTGTGAGTGAACTGTCAAATTTTCTTCAAGTTTGGAATTGACAAAGAGTTGAAATGAACGGGGTTTACTGAAGTATCAGCAAGACACCCTTTTAAAAACCCCATTAATACAGTCAATCCTATAATTAGAATATATTTTGATAGACAGTATAATTTAGATATTTATTATTTGCGTCTTTTCGTAATAACAGTTCTATAACATATGTATGTATAGTGTATATGTACTTAATAGTAAAATGTAGGTAAGTATATAATACAATTAATTGCAACGGTTGGCTATACATCAAACAAAAAAATTATAGTGGGTGGTAATTGCCTACTTTATTCATATAACTAACCACTTGCAGGAGTCGAACTCACGATCTTTGATTCAACAGAGCTCTATTACAGATTATATTTTACTATTCTAGTACATTATAATGACTATAATATACGTTCATGCTAATTGTTAAAACTGCCACAGATTATATTATACATTAAATAATAAAAAATAAAATATACATAATTAACAGCGTTGGTCTAGTGGCTAACCCACAACTGCAAATCCGGAGTTCAACCCAAGTTGGGTTCGGGCTTTTCTGCATTGAAAGTTTCAGTAAGAGCTCGGAGTTTGAAAGTTTGCGATGTTTCACCCCCGTGCCTCGGAGAGCACGTAAAGCCGTCGGTCCCACCGGATTATGAAAGTGATAGGAATAGAGAGAGCACTTTGTGTCTGTACGTACACTATTGTGCACTAAAATATACTTATAATTTAAAATTACCTTAAAATTACTCCTGCGCAGTTGAGGCTAGTGCTAGTAGTGGCAATGAGATTGGCCGCCGTTGCCGAAGGACATTATCATCAAAATAAAACGTATAAAATGCATTACATTTAACTTTATAAGCCCGCATACTTTTTAGAAGCTTTATATATTTAACAAAACTCTTTAACCGGCTTATATAATTTAAAAACTCCATTAATAAACTATGTGTGCAAAGAATATTTGATATTTACATCAAAAGAACAAAACGCTGTAATCTACTTAGAACTTATTGCAAGATCATTACAAAAAACTCATTAAAACCGTGGAGGGCAGAAAGGACTTAATTCTAATTTCTACCCCGACCTTTCAAGTGTCGACCGACGTGGACGTTTTATTTTCTCATACTTTGTAAATTTAAGTAAAAAGTAAAATACCAAATAATTTATACACATTTTATATAAAATTTATATAACGAATAATTAAATAATATAACTACTACATCAAAACAAATTAGACTTTAAATAACAACAGGATCATATATACTAATATTATAAAGAGGTAAAGTTTGTGAGTTTGTGACGTTGTAGAGGGTAATCTCTGGATCTACCGAACCTATTTAGATGAAATTTGATAAGAAGATAGTTTAAGACCCTGGGAAGGACATAAGATACTTTTTATCCTGAAAATCATCCCTTAAAAAGAAAAAAGTTGAAACTTTGAAAGTTTGTATGCGGAATCAAGCTAAGGACGAACCCGAGCGAAGCGAGGATTTAATTATTATTTAATTAGTTTTCAAAATTAAAATATTTGTTCTTATTTACTGTACTTAACTATATTTACATTTAACTATATTCTGACTAAGCCGACCTCGTTAGCAGAGAGTTTAAAATAAATTTAAGAAATAACACTAAATATTAAAAAGCTTAGGCATCTGTACCTACTGTTAAAGCTAATTTACCCATTACGAGATTAAGAATATTATATTTTATATAACACTAGCGACTCACCCTCTCTCCGCTCGGGTTCGTCCCTAGATATTACGTTTTTAGGGTTAGTATACACTTCTCATAAATGAGATATTTTCCCGTAGTAAACAGTATCCTATATGTTGACCCGGATAACCAGCTATCATAGTACCAAATTTCATCAAAATCTGTCCAATGGTTTTCCCGTGATGCGTTCCCAGGCAGACGGACAAAAATTCTAAAAACTATAGATTCAGCTTTTGTATCTAAATTGACTATTTAGATAGGATTTTCAAAAAAAAAAATAATGTATCTACAGATTCGACTCAGAATTTTATTATAAGTATAGAAAAATACTATCTAAATAAAAGCACCATAATACTTTTTCTAATCTATATAATAAAAACTTTAGTTTCAAAATCTTAAGAAAAAGTAGCGATCCATCAAATGTCTCTAAAAGCAATCAGTCGGGGACCATTACATGCTCATTAATTCGGGGGAAGGGTTTATCTTGAAGGTAATTGGCGCCATTCCGCCAGCCCGGGGGTTTTATTAAGCCAGAAAATACCTAAATGAAGAAATACCCTTTTGTGGGCAGCCGTTTCTCTTCATTGAGATCTCCAGCCAACGCAATTTAAGCTTTGAGATAATAGCCGCGTCCGTCGCCCCCGCACCGGCCGTGAGCGCTGGTAGCGCCTGTCAACAAACTCGCCGCTATTTCGTGAACTCTCCAATTTAGAAATGCAATTAATCCAAAGTAAAAATAAAGCATAGATAATAATTACATGAAATAATATAGTGATAAAAATATTTGAAAAAAGATAGTAAATATATATATAATTTAAAAATAAAACCCGACTGCATATAAGCTAACTAAAAATAAGAAAACAAGTTCACTAAGGAATATAGTATTATGCAGTCGGAGACATACCTATATGTTTCATCCTTGCCGCGAGATGTATATACTCATACAATTCATTATATATCCTAAACTGTTATTTAAAAAAAAAATAATAATAAAAGAAACCTAAAATGATTTTTAAATGCCTATTCAACGATACCCCACTTGACATAGTTCGTCGATTTTCATTATTTTTCTTTTTCACATTATGGAATCTAGCAGCCCCCTATATTTTTTTTATAATATTTTTTTTTATAATAATAATAATATATTGCCCACATTGTTCTCTGTATTATCTGTGTTACTATGTCAATATGCAATAAAGAATATATATATAATAAAAAATATTACAAAAAAACAAACAAACATACAAAGATAGGCGCGAAAAACATAACCCTTTCTGTGCAGTCGGGTAAAGATTAGCAATCGTCACAAATGGTGTCACTATGCTTCACACTTTGTTTTATATAGAGCAAGAGAAACAGTTGTAGAACATATACAAACATTTACCCCGTTAATATAAGTGAAAACTTCTATAGGCAGTCGTCATCCGTTGTCGACATGGTCACGTGACGTGTTAACGCTAACACTCAGAGTGACGATAGATGTCAAAAGCAAATAAAATATGTAAACTTTTAATTTACAAATTTTAATTTAAGCATTAAACAATTAATTTGAATATCGAATAAAAACTTAAAAAAAACCGACTTCCATGCACTAAAATGTAAAAAATAACTAAACGGGAGTTTTCATTTAGAATAGATACCTAATCAGATATTTTCGAAGTCGATGCCAGCCGATGCAAAGCGAATCTAATGTATTTTAATACGTAAAACACATTACAAATTGATATATAATATTTTAACTATAATAATTAGAGTTCATACCAAATCATATTTACTTATTAGATATTCATATCTTAAAATATTGTCGGCTGGCACCGACTTTGAAAATATCTGATTAGGTATTTATTCTAAATGAAAACCCCCTTTAGTTATTTTTTACATTTAGTGCCTGGAAGTCGTTTTTTGTTTTTATTTGTCCATTTTTAGTGTAGACGTAATAAGCAGGTAATTTGTTAGAAGAAAGTTTATTAATAACATGTTCAATTAAGCAATTTATTTAAAAAAAAATATTTGTTGATTTTAAAAAAAGCGCTTCACCGATTACGATAAAATTATATGGGACCACGTGGGAAGTATACCCTTTGAAACAAAAAAATATTTCCAAATCGGTTCAGGCGTCGTCGAGTAATCGATGAACGTACATTAAAAAAAAGAATCCGACGTATTCAGAACCTGCTCTTTTTTGGAAGTCTGTTAAAAATAACGACTGTTTGTATATAGTTTTAAGTTTTCACTTCTTTCGGCAGTCCTCATGACTGATTTTTTTACTTTACATTGTTCTAAAAATAATTGTATTTATTATTATGAACATACTTCAAACTAATCCGAATATATAAAATTAATAAATGTGCAAGAAATTAAATTAAATATTTATAAACCCCCAACACCCAATAATGAGTCCATTTCTATGAGTCTAAATATGATATATCAGCGGTATTTTAATAGTTTTAAAGTATCTTGCAGATTTCAAGTGACGCTGCAGCATCAGGCCAAGGTCACCATTTCATTGCAATGTTATTGAAGTAACGGAATATCAAGTTTCGAATCAATAACATCTGTAAAATTTGGTCATAAATCCTTTTACCTTCTAGAAAGTCAGTTTAAAAGCCTGCAAACGGCTGAACGGATTTTCTTGATTTATAGCTCTGAGAACACTCGATTGAGTCATCTCACAAAAAACCTAAATTTAGATCAGTTCATCCGTCTGGGCGTTACAACGCCACAGACAGACACCTAACATACATATATACATACATATCCACGTTACGAGACCCCTCTAACGTCAAGCGTTTAAAAGAATTTAGTTCACTTTATATTACTGGCCTCCAAAATAAATAAGATTTTCAAATGTATAAGAATATTAAATATGAAAAAAAAAATTAGTATAAAACCAATAAAATATCAGTAAATATTTTGATTTTAAAATTTGCGATTACCTTATTTTAGTAGAAAGGTAATGAAAATTTCTTAATAAAAATTTCTGTAAAAGGAATGGCGCGCCTTTGGTATGTCTCCGCTATATTGTTTATGTGCCTTATGATATCAAATAAAAAAATAATGATCAGAGCCTAATAATAATAAATATCAATATTACGCTTTTTTTTCAAATAAATTCTTATCCCAAAACGAAATTTGCAAACGAACATGAACGTGTGTTTATAGCCTATGATATCATCTGTCAAATGAATTGGTGTATACTCTGTGGCGGGGATCCATAGACTACGTAGAAAGAAACAACAATATATGAATATAGTGTCATATTTTATGCTTCGAGTGGTGGTCGTGTGTTTGTGCATTGTTCATCTGTGGTCTTTCTATTTTAATATTTATAGTTATTATGACCATAATGTCTGAGATAATTATTGATATTTAAGATTATTTAGCAGTAATCGATTTTTTACATATACATAAAACAAGAAAAATCAATGTGTGCGATCGACCTCCCGTTGTAAGAATCCGAGCCCGGATTGGTTTCAAAAAAACGGCTGTGACTTGTGAGTGATTTTACTGTGTGAAGTTCAATAAAGATACTCAAGATATAAACATTTAATGTTACGATCAACATCAGATTAATTGAAACTAAGTGCTTATACAGTACAGTTTGATAAGGGGACCGATGGATATTTAATAGGTAAGAATGAAGTTATGCGAAGCATGGCGGATTGGAATGCGCCGGTGAATGATGGCGGCTATTGTTGTTGATTACGCGTAGCAGTGTGGGCTCGTGGGCACGATCTGTTTGTTTGTAATTATTGAGTACGGAGGCAGCAGAACAGTTAGCCGGACTGGCAACTGGCATGCCGTGCCCGCGGGGTCAACAACACTCCGCTACGTTGTATCAAAATATTATAATATCTCTTATTAGAAGCAGTTTTTATCAGCTCTAGGTACAAACACTTGTTACAAAGTGTAATCGTATTTCCTATAAATTTCATGCTTTTGCTTTAGGATGATTATAACGGAGTAATTATTTATTTCGTATTTAGTTGGTATCTTTGGTTTGAGTGAATTATTATTTACCATTTGATTGTTTTTTGCATAGAAATTTAATTTACCTACTTATAACTTAAAATATTCCTTAAAAAAAATAAGATGCAATATTAATTGAAGTTGAGTTTCTATTTTGCTTAAGTTTTTTGTAGAACGAAGCTTAAACATGTTATTTTTGTTTGCGATTGTCACATCAGTTGCTTACTGCCGGGCTGCCCTCAAGATGATGGTGGAAACCATTCTCGAGTCCTCTCAGGACTTTGGTAAGTCAGTTTTACGCATTTATATAATATGGCTTTTATTTTTGTTGTACTTACAAAATTAAATATATATGAAGACTTAAATTTCATATCAATAATTATTAAAGTAAGTAAGAGAAATGAATAGCCATATTACATTATTAATATTGTTTTCCTTTCTTCTTTTACATTTAAAATATTTTATGTAGTAAACTATAAGAATCTCAATTTTATTAATTTTATTGTTATATTTGCAATATTTAATGGATTCTGGATCCTAAGATGATAGTCATTAAAATTAACACTAAAATTTAAATAAATATTTAGCTTTTAATTGAACAGTAAATATAATTAAGATAACAGAAACATCAAATATAAACACAGGAAGTAATTTATTTAAGATTTATAATGTAAACAAAGCCTTGTTTTTCTGTAACAAATTAAATGAAGTAGACAATGACAGTGCACCGATTTTAGTACTTTTTGTTTAACTGCTTCCTGCTATCTACAATTGAGTTACAATGGAACTAGAATTATTATCAATTAATGAGTATACTAATAAGTAACAAATGCAAAGTTTAATATCACATAATATGGAAGAAGAATTACCTTAAACAAATCTTTTTTGGTGTATACGCAGGTTTAAAAGTTTAGTTTTTGGTGTTTTAGAATATTTTTTTCTTGATACATTATACATACATTACATCCTACTACTAGCTACTATCCAAGCTTTCATTTCCATGTATTTTGGAGTCTATTTAAACTATTTTATCTATAAACGCTGAACATGAACTACATTTTTTATGTGATAGTGTAAAATAGAAAATTACACTATAATCTTGAGATCAACTTTAGTTTGCATAAACTCTAGCTTTGTTTTTAATTCAATCTGTCTGGTACTTTACCATCTGTAGTTCTTCTTGATTGACACACAGACAAACAACAATTCTGAAGGGTGTAAGGTGACTTCATCCCAAATATTTCACAAAATTATTTAAGCATCCATAACATATATACATTTTGTTTTTAAAAATCTTTTGACAAGAATCCACAATACGAAGATTAGATTCTGTTCCTCGTAAAATTAAATTTAAGACTAGATTTGATTGGCACAGGCATGTCGAACGGCGCCCTACCGCAGTGGAAGCGCGAGTTGCTGCAGCGCCGAGCGGCGCGGGCCCGGCCGCCGCTGGCGCCCGCGCCGCCCGCGCCCCCGCCGCCGCCACCGCCCGCCGACGACGACGAGGAGCTGCGCTACGGGCCCGGCATTGTCAAGCGGCTTAAATCTCGATACTTGAGCTTAGCACTACGCGAAGCTCCTAAACGCCGACCCTCTGTTCTCCGCCGCGCCGCGTCCCTAGAACATCTGCTTGACGAACGGCCCCCGCCCGCCCCTAGGCCGCACTCCCGACCCGCGCGCCCCGTGTCACTCGCCGCGGCCTCCTATTGTGCTCTCTCCGCGCCACAACCTCGCCGTGATTCCGTGAAGCGAGCTCGTTCCGTGGATGCTCTCAGTCGCCTCGACTCGCGAGATGACCCCCCTCACATCCCGCTGCAGCCTCCTCCGCAGCCGCCCCCGCCGCCGCCCTCGCCGCCGCCGCCGCTGCCTCGCACCGCGCGCCCGCCCCGCCGGCCGACGCCCTTGCTGCGCGAGACCGAACGTCCTCCGACCGATGTGGTTCGGTCCACGTTACGGAAATTCGAATCTGCTCCGCCGCGCCGCACCGCACCCGCCGCCCGCGTGTCCGCCGTGCTGCGGGGTCTGGAGGCGCTGCCGCGAAGCTCCACCCCGGAACCGCGCGGGCGCTCCCCGAGTCCGGCCGCCGCAGACCTATCGGCTATCGACGAACCCGAGGGCGCTGGACTGTCTGTTGCGTGCGAAACCAAAACGGTATCCCGGGCTGCGTTGGAAGGAATTGCACGCGCGGGTTCCACGGTACGCTACGCGTTCGATGCACCCAAGCACGGCTCCCACCTGCCACCGTTGGCCGCCACCAACCCGGTGCTCCTGGGCCGCTCGCGCTTGTCCGCGTCCCCGCGCCGCGTCGGCGTCATCCGCCCGATGCCGGCGCCGACGCTCGACAGATCGATCTCTTCCCCGACGCCCAACATGGACGAAACAGATGAAAAAATGGAGGAACCGCAACGAATCGTGTCTCCTTTGCCATACGATGAAACTCCGAACAAGAAGGACCCTCCCTCCGCCGCAGTCGAACCGATGCTACGATCGCCCGAGGAATGCCCTGCGATCCCTCAAACAAACGGTAACGCGACGCCTGCAGTTACTCGCGAAGTGACTCCCGAGCCTGAAGCAAAGCCCGAGCTGATAGAGACACCGAGGACTCCGGCGCCCAAATTGATGAATGGTCATTCGACCCCGCCGAAGCCGGCTGATACGAAACCCAAGGGATCTTTCTCGCGTATCGGTGCAGCGGGAATAGAACGCGCCTGGACCGGGGCGGAGGATAAGCAGAGTCCAGTAGGTAAAGAGAAGAAAGATAGTGAATTAAAGAGTGGTGTGGCTCCGTGGGCGAGGAGCAACGTGAGCGGCGCGGACAGTCCGAGCCCAGCGACGGCGCGGCGGCGCGCGCCCGCGCCCGCCGCCACCTCCGTCGTGTTCAACTTCTCCAACCGCAAGGAGGTGCCCGACTACATCGAGAACGACGGCATCGTGCTGCGCGCTAACAGGCGGAACAGGTTTAAGGTGAGCGCTTTTAAGATTTTCTGAGTTATAATAGCGTGCTTTACAGCATTTAGTCGTTACGGTATGATTTAAAAACCATTTAAATATCCAAAAATCAACTCAAAATAACAGTTTAATAATAAAAAATGTCAAATTACCTTAATCGTACTTGCTCTAAATATAACAGTACTTGCCGATTTATCATTCGCCACAAAACAATATGCAAAAGCAAGTAAGAATTGCGCAACGAATCGCCGGAATGGCCCGCGTCCGCGCTTTGCCTCCCGATACTCGGTCAGCTCACATCTGACCGCATTCACTAGAGAGATACCTGAAACAATAAGCTACGCTCGGCTACCATCCATTTCACGGATCATTTTGTTTGTGAGCTTTGCTTTCTGATGCCATCTCTGAGGCGACGAATCGTTAAATCAATAAATAATGGGTTACGCAATAAAATATGCAAACATTTTCTTCAAACGGTGAAAGTGTGGCCCATGGACGGCGGGTGAAACCGTTTTTATGCGTACTCGCGTTATGGCGATGGTCGAATCGATGCCACTCTCGGTTTCTGTGATAGCGAGGAAAGTGCCCCTGCCTTGAATGGCAACGAGACATCGATATTCCGAAAACTCGTTACTACATATTATGCACGGATCGAAATCACTTGTAACATAATTTAAGCCATACTTGTAGTTGTGTACTTTAATATTCAATAATTTTAATCGATGTAAAAGGCACTCGATAGGTTTTAAATTCAGATCGAGAGTGAAAATCGCAACATGTTCTTGCTCATTTCTTTTTTTAAATAACTCGTTTTTGGAACTGCTAGATGGGATTTTTCCCTTAAAACTTTTTTTAAAACAACCTTTATAATAGACCTTTGATTTTAAAATCCAAATCTTATTTAAAAAATAATTACTATCCAGTAACCGTGCAACCTCTCGACAAATTCTCCAGTGAACCGCGACGTCACGCTTGATCGCTGAATAATTACGAGCATCGCTACAAACTGTCTTTGAACTTGACGTTGAAGTTAACTCTGATTAAAACCGGTTCTTAAGATTGTAGCGTCAAAAAACTTTCACGACTTGTTGTCATTAGATTACCAGTTATTTTTAATTTTCATTCATATTGCGTAAACAAATAGATGCATTAGTCAAACGTTGTTATTGAAACCTACTGTATATGGCAAGAATTTTATTACTTTGAAGAATGTAAAGCTAGTTTCACGTTCTGAGCCACTGTGCCTGACTATATTTTATATTAACCTTACAACATAATCTACTATTGTTTCTGTATAAAGTAACGGGGTCAAAGTTGCAATTTAAAGAGTTATGTTTTAAGTATTATATATTTAAAAATAAAAAAAGATAAAAAAAGTATTTAACACCTCCAGATAAATTTCTAAGAAATCTATTGTTAACTGTATCGCCGGCGTGTCCGCGGTCGTGGAAGGATTAAATCAACATTTAAAGTTTTCATCGACATTATAAAACTTCATATCTAAACAGACAGCAGGATCTTAATGTGCTATGCTCTTATATAAGTGAAGTTTATAGCAAAATTGCAAATAAATAATGAATATATTAAGTTTTCTCTTAAGTCACATGTAGTGGTGGATATTATGTAATGACATTTTCGTATAGACTAAACATAAAACCTGAATAGAATGGTAATTAAAAGAGGAGGACGACAGGTGCGTACGAGATCGGCCGCATCACTTTCTTTGTCATTTTTTCTGTGCACGATCTTGTATTTCTGGTTTTCTGAGACGAGTTCTAACCCTCAGCAAAGTTAAAGCTTTTTTTCATACTAGTATGTCATAAGTTAAATCTAGTTTGGTCGAAAAAAGTGCTAAATTTTGGATATAAGAGGTTAAATTTATTTACTAGTACATATGAGTTTATTTCCATTTTTGCTATATATCTCTTATGAAATTAGACACCAAGATCCTGATACCTCACTTCATTCCCTAAAAGTCTATAGTTTTTAAACAGGATAATAAAAACTAGATCAATAGATCAAAGTATTCATTTCGCATCTCATTTTGTACGTGATTCAGCTAAAAGCATTCGAAGTGATATTGCCATATCATCGATGTATGCAAAAGATTAATAGCTCAGAGAACGTTCATTATTACGGCAATAATTACCACTTGAACGACCAATACTCCGGGGTCGTTTCAAGGCGATATTTCAATTAAACTGTGTGATCTTAATTCTGAAACATCGCAGTCGCGCGGTTGTGTCCTGTTTTGATTAGTTAAAGGTTTGATTCTTATCAACAATTCTTATCACAACCAGGGTGTTAAATTCGTGTTTTTAACTATAGAAAATACTCAGGGTCTCAAACTATCTTCTTACCAAATTTTATCTAAATCGGCCCAGTAGTTTTTGACTTTATTCGTTACAAACATACAAAAATACAAATCGTTCCTCTTTATAATATTAGTGTAGATTGCTTTGACTTATCTATTCCTAACGTTCCCCCAATGAACACTTAAAAATAATGAATATAAACATATCCCCCTTAAAGTTTTATACAACATAGTTATGTATAAATGCTTGGTATAACGAGTGAATCACCAGGGGTTGGCGGTTGATCAGTTTAAATAACACGGTTATGGCTTTTTACGTACAAGCGACTCACTCATATCCGCATTTACAGCGCAATTATTCACATATAATACGTAAATCGTAAGTGACCTATTTAATTTAATGGAATATTACGTGTTGTTTGTGTACCAGTATGAAGATGATATTGATCAATACTAATATTTATTATACCTACTAAAACTATATTACTTAAAATACTGAATCTGTACATTAAATTTATCGATACAGAGGCCGATCTATAGTTTTCACAATTTTTGTGTGTCTGTCTGGGAACGCATCACGAGAAAACCACTGAACAGATTTTGATGAAATTTGGTATGATGATAGCTGGTTATCCGGATCAACATATAGGATATATTTTACTGCGGGAAAATATCTCACCTCTGAAAAATCTATATTAGACATCAAAACGTTACTAGGGTCGAACCCGGGCGGAACGAGAGTTAATCGCTAGTATTTAATCGTTTTAATTTCCCCAATGGCTGTTTTGGAACTAAGTAAAGCAATTTACAGTACTACAAGTTTAACAATTACAGTTTTAATTAGCTTATCGTCTAAAGATACTTCGATGTATACTTTTATATATACCATACCTACAACATTTTGGATTTATCGTTCAAAGTTAAATTCGCCACCAAATAATTTCCGTCAATTTTTTTTCTAATACTTAAGTCAAACAATCAAAAATACAATAAACAATTTGGCTGTCATACTTCAATTATATTAAAGCTTCACATAATATACTCAATAATAATATGATATAGAGTTATCACAACTTTCGTTTAAAAAGTGTTTTTTAAGTCTTTTCTATGTGACATCGGCGATGTCAACAGGCACGCTTTGAAAATATTACCAAGAGAATTGAATTAAAGTTTATCTTGCTGGTAAAAGAAAGCAATGCCTAAGTTTAACGCGGTCAGATCAGAGTTAACTAATTGTATCAATGGATTTGGGTCATCGGCACATCTAATTAAGTAAATTCGCACCTACTTCGCCATTAGGCAGTGAATGCTTCAAATGTCGTTTCACGGCAGAAAACCGTTAGCGAGTACTAAATGAGTTAACATGCGCCTGCTCTGAGCTAACGGCGTTTGTTTAGGTATTATCGTTCTTTGTATTTCACTGGCTTTATATAATTATTATATCTATACATATAATAAAATTGTAACTAAGTCGAATCTGTACATTGAATATTTTTTGGAAAATCTAATTGAAATAGACATCATTATCGATACAGAGTCCGAATCTATAGTTTTAAAAAAAAATCTGTCTGTCTGTTACCGCATCACGAGGAAACCACTGGACAGATTTTGATGTTTGGTATGATGATAGCTGGTTATCCGGGTCAACATATAGGATACTTTTTACCGCGGGAAAATATCTCATTTCTGAGAAAAAATACAAAAACTGCATTGTAAGATAATACTAATATGTAAAACCTAAGAATTTGGTTTTTGGTCATCTGAACGCGGGCGGACTCGTAGTTAATATATATAATATATTATTCTTTGAGTCTTACTGATGTTATAATACTTACTACGTTATATTTTAATTGCATGCTTTAAATTATCATGTTACATGTCGTCTATTGTAGAAAACTGTGATTCACAGTTGTGTCTAATGTTGAATTTATTTTGGGAACCACAAGAATTACTGAATGAAATGGATATTATCATACGTTTCTCTGTCTCTAAATAATGCGGATGTATTAAATATGCTAAGAAAATGACTAATCACAGTGCGACCTTAAAATTTTACATTATTAACTCTCTTCAATGTCATTAAGATCTGAAAAATACCGAGTTTGACCTTATTTCATTAACCGATTTCCAAAAACGAGGAGGTTCTATGTTGGTCTGTGTGTGTGTGTGTGTTTTTTTTATATTATCATGATATTTGATGTATGGAATTATTCGATAACTTTAAAAATATCTGATTAAGTACCATTTATACTAAATGAAAACCTCCGTTCAGTTATGTATTTTTTACTTTTTAGTTTTTAGTGCCTCGAAGTCGTTTTTTTTTTTATAATTTTTATTTCAAATTCAGGGATCGTCCGGGACTTTGCTTGTATGTTACAACGATTAAAACTATCCTATGTTTTTCGCACATAAATCTTCTCCCTAAAAGCGGACATATCGTTCTTTTATCTTTAAACTCACGGACACTCTTTTCCTTTTCCAGAATATAAGATACGAATCATATGTCAACTTCACTGGAATCCTCTCATCATCTGTAAAACGTACACCTAAGTATCGTGCAGATATAATAGCATAATATATGTTTTGAAATCAATGACTGTCACATCAATATTTTTGTATGTTTTATTTGTGCGGCTAAATTAATATACCATTAATGGTTTCAAAGAGTGGACGATTCTGTTCGTTCTGCTCGCAGCACTAC